TATATATATATATATATATATATATATATATATATATATATATATTAGGGCCAGGCACGTTAACACGTTAACTTTGCGTTAACTAATTAAGTCATTAACGCCGACAATTATTTTAACGCCGTTAATGCAGTTTTTATTATTTATTTATTTATTTTATTGTAAACGTCTGTTTCTCACTGGCTTTTATTTTGAAAAAGTCCACCGTGAGCGTTTCTTTAAGTTTGACGTCTTTTCTTGAGACTTTTTTCACTTTTTTCTGACCACGTGAGATGCAACATGTCCGAGCCTCCACGAGCCGCGGGCCCGGCCGCGGGTTCGGCCACAGGCTCCGACTCCCATCGTGGCTCTGGCCGCGGACTCAGCCGCAGGTTTAGCCGCGGGCTCCGGCTCCGGCTGTGGACTCAGCCGCGGGCACCGGCTCTGAGCTGAGCTTATTTCTTTAGTTCAGTGCTGGAGTCACTGATTTACCCAGATACCACTGGAAGAAAAAATGTGATTGGTCCATTTCCATTCCATTATATTAACCCTTTGTTTCCTAAGAAATATCAGTCCAAGTTTATAACACTGATCTAGAAATTATTACTAGTGTAGTGTTCATTACTCACAGCATAAAAAATATTCAATAAATATATTAGTAGTACAAACGTCCATTCAATATTTTTTCTTGAGCCTTCCCTGAACACCTTGAAGACTCTGAGGTTCCCCTGTGAAAGAAATACTGTTTGCACAACAAATGTTTGGCTCTTTCATTTACATTTCCAATAAAAGTCGCTATACTCTACTTTTTAATTCATTAATCGGTTTTGCGTATAACATGCGATTAATCGCGATTAATCACTCGAACTCATGCGATTAATCGCGATTAAAAATTGTTATTTTTGCCCAGCCCTAATGTGTGAGTATATATATATATATATATATATATATATATATATATATATATATATATATATATATATATATATGCCATATCCGCAGTGATGACATGCACAAGATATTTAATTTTTGTTGTAACAGTCAACACAACACGACAGGCAGAAGTCAGGAAATCTCATGTGCTTATCTTCTTTGGTTGTGAGGATCATGACCAGACTCTTGGTTGTTTTATATTTTATCTCGTGTTCCACACTGTGAGCTGAACACATGTTAAATAGCTGCTGGAGACCAGCGGTGCTCAGACAAAAACAACCAAATCATCTGCATACATGAAATGATTCATAACAAGATTTCCAGCCACACAACCACTTTTACATGAAGTGAGTTCCACCTCTGCTAAAACAGCCGGAGATTCCCCAGAGCCTGGCACATTACATGACCTATCATGATGATTATAGACCTGCAGCTCGGAGCCCATTCACACCTCACTGCCATGGCTGATCACTCCAATCTCCTCCCAGCCCAGTGAGCACATTCTCTTCACTGTCTGACGACGAGATGTGTGGCAGCCTGACAGACCAAACCCAGGGCACATTGTTCAGATCCAGCTGTGTGGGATTACTGTCAGCACGCACATGTGGAGCGGCAGAGGGACCGACTCTGAGGAAGAACACTCATCACACACAAACTGTATCCATGTGACTCTGTCAATGTGGAGGGGAGGGATTTATGTCTTTAATATTGCTCTTGTCTTGTAACATTTAGTTGTTGTTACCTCATCGAAAACAGACATGGAGTTGTGTTTCCTTTCATTCACATGTGTTTGAGTAAAACATTACTAGTCTGTCTACATCTGCAAAGATCCAAATACATCACCCTGTGATGTCATGTAGTGGTACTTTTAACAGCTATAAGCCCGGAAGACGTTTGGAAACATGTAATGACAACTTCCATTGGGCTCTGTTCACCGCAGCAAGTCTGACAAAATCTAGGAAAAATGAGAAAATGTCCCAGTTTTCTTCATCTCCATGTCATTGTAGTGTTCTGTTATGTTCAGTTAATCAACAGTTCCAACCATCCCTCAGTCTTCATCATTTCTCCACTGACACACAACTCTGAGTGCACTGGTACATGTGACTAGAAGAGACGAGGCCAAACTCCAGATGATTCCAAAGAGCACATACGTCTGCAGTCTTCATTTTACCACTGATCACATTTACTTCAGTGGGTTTGATCACAGTCGGTCGGTGAGTCCAGTATCGGAAACTACACAGGAATTTATCATTTCATGTTTCCAAACGTCTTCCTGGTTTGTGACATAAGTGTGAATAGAGACTGTTTTTAGCCTGAACTTGATTACTCTACAGTACACTATAATAATTATCAGTTTAAAAATCATTTGTTCAGTAGAGAATAACACAGAAAGTTTACAATAACTTGTGGTGCACCGAGGAGTGAAGATATATGAGTGCGGCTACAACAATAGAAGACAAGAGTTTGACAATTCCAAGGCTACAAAAGATTCAAATGACTCATTCCAGTTTGAGAAAAGAACAGGACTTGTGACTGAGACAAAACACAACTACAGAAGCTTTTGTGAACTTCATCTTTGGATTTGTACTTAAAACAGGTTTTATTATTTATTTATTTTTTATTGTAAATGTCTGTATCCAGTGTTGGGGAGTAACAGATTACATGTACCAGAGTTACATAATCAGAGTACAAATTATGAGTAACTGTATTCAGTTACAGTTACTGTTTCAGTGAGTGGTAATTGGATTACAGTTACTTTGTTGAAATAAATGGATTACACGTTGGTTTTTCCTGTTTTTTCGGTAATTCCACTCATTGCCGGAAACTAAACCAGGTCTAAACTAGATCTAAGCCAGGACTAAACCAGGACTAAAACCAGGTCTAAACTAGAGCTAAACTAGATCTAAACCAGGTTTTAGTTTTCCTGGTTTAGTTCTGGTTTTAGATCTGGTTTAGTCTTGGTTTAGTCCTGGTTTACTTCTGGTTTTAGTCTTGGTTTAGTTCTGGTTTAGTCCTGGTTTTAGTCCTGGTTTTAGCCTTGGTTTAGTTCTGGTTTAGTCCTGGTTTTAGTCCTGGTTTTAGTCTTGGATTTAGTTCTGGTTTAGTCCTGGTTTAGTCTGGTTTTAGTCTTGGTTTAGTTCTGGTTTAGTCCTGGTTTTAGTCTGGTTTTAGTCTTGGATTTAGTCTGGTTTAGTTCTGGTTTAGTCCTGGTTTAGTCCTGGTTTAGTCCTGGTTTTAGTCCTGGTTTAGTCCTGGTTTAGTTCTGGTTTAGTTCTGGTTTTAGTTCTGGTTTAGTCCTGGTTTACTTCTGGTTTTAGTCTTGGTTTAGTTCTGGTTTAGTCCTGGTTTTAGTCTTGGATTTATTCCTGGTTTAGTCCTGGTTTTAGTCCTGGTTTAGTTCTGGTTTAGTTCTGGTTTTAGTTCTGTTTTAGTCCTGGTTTACTTCTGGTTTTGGTTTTGGTTTAGTTCTGGTTTAGTCCTGGTTTTAGTCTTGGATTTAGTCCTGGTTTAGTCCTGGTTTTAGTCCTGGTTTAGTCCTGGTTTTAGTTCTGGTTTTAGTCTTGGATTTAGTTCTGGTTTAGTTCTGGTTTAGTCCTGGTTTTAGTCCTGGTTTAGTTCTGGTTAAGTTCTGGTTTTAGTTCTGGTTTAGTCCTGGTTTACTTCTGGTTTTAGTCTTGGTTTAGTTCTGGTTTAGTCCTGGTTTTAGTTCTGGTTTTAGTCTTGGATTTAGTTCTGGTTTAGTCCTGGTTTAGTTCTGGTTAAGTTCTGGTTTTAGTTCTGGTTTAGTCCTGGTTTACTTCTGGTTTTAGTCCTGGTTTAGTCTTAGTTTTAGTCCTGGTTTAGTTCTGGTTTTAGTCCTGGTTTTAGTCCTGGTTTAGTCCTGGTTAAAGTCCTGGTTTTAGTCCTGGTTTAGTCCTGGTTTAGTTCTGGTTTTAGTCCTGGTTTAGTCCTAGTTTTAGACCTTCTTTAATCCTGGTTTTAGTCCTAGTTTAGACCTGGTTTTAGTCCCGGTTTAGTCCTGGTTTTAGACCTGGTTTAGTCCTTGTTTAATTCTGGTTTTAGTTCTGGTTTAGTCCTGGTTTAGTCCTGGTTTAGTTCTGGTTTTAGACCTGGTTTAGTCCTGGTTTTAGTCCTGGTTTAGTTCTAGTTTTAGACCTGGTTTAGTCCTGGTTTAGTTCTGGTTTAGTTCTGGTTTAATTCTGGTTGTAGTTCTGGTTTTAGTTTTGGTTTAGTTCTGGTTTAGTTCTGGTTTAGTCCTGGTTTCAGTTCTGGTTTTAGTCCTGGTTTTAGTCCTGGTTTAGTCCTTGTTTAGTCCTGGTTTTAGTCCTGGTTTAGTTCTGGTTTTAGTTCTGGTTTTAGTCCTGGTTTAGTCCTGGTTTTAGTTCTGGTTTTAGTCCTGGTTTTAGTTCTGGTTTAGTTCTGGTTTAGACCTGGTTTTAGTTCTGGCTTTAGTCCTGGTTTAGTTCTGGTTTTAGTTCTGGTTTAGTCCTGGTTTAGTCCTGGTTTAGTTCTGGTTTTAGACCTGGTTTAGTCCTGGTTTTAGACCTGGTTTTAGTTCTGGTTTTAGTCCTGGTTTAGTTCTGGTTTTAGTCCTGGTTTTAGTTCTGGTTTTAGTCCTGGTTTTAGTTCTGGTTTTAGTTCTGGTTTTAGTTCTGGTTTTAGTTCTGGTTTTAGTTCTGGTTTTAGTCCTGGTTTAGTCCTGGTTTTAGTCCTGGTTTAGTTCTGGTTTTAGTCCTGGTTTTAGTCCTGGGTTTAGTTCTGGTTTTAGTTCTGGTTTTAGTTCTGGTTTAGTCCTGGTTTAGTTCTGGTTTTGCCCAAAATGTGAAAACAGGAAAATCCCTCTGTGTAATCCATTTATTTGAAGAAAGTAACTGTAATCCAATGACCACTCACTGAAACAGTAACTGTAACTGAATCCAGTTACTCATCATTTGTACTCTGATTACGTAACTCCAGTACATGTAATCTGTTACTCCTGACACTGCTTATCTGTAACACTGCAGCACTTCTCATTTTTACTGCTGTTGATCACATTCACTTCACTTTTGAATTCAGTTCTTTAAGTCAGATTCCTCGTCTGTTGTTCTCACCGGTTTGGAGCTTGAAGCAGGTGGTGTGGAACTTGCCCACGTAGAACTCCACCCCGATGATGGCGAACATGACGATGGCGAAGAAGAGCAGCAGGCCGATCTGCAGCAGGGGCACCATGGCCTTCATGATGGACTTCAGCACCACCTGGAGGCCTGGAGGAGAGACACACGAATCACTCCATAGTCAACAAACATAATCAGAGAAAAAGAAGAAGAGTCTATATCATGTTTTTTTATAACACCAAACCAAAGTGCCCACTATTCACAGGGAAGTACAGGGTGTTGGAGAAACCGTGGCTGCCGAGACGCCCGTCATTACCATGTGTTTTGGGACTGTCATGTGATCCATAAACATTGGACAGAAATCAACAAAGCATTGCAAACTATTTTTAATGTGACCGTTCCACTCGACTTCAGAACCTGTACCTGAGCCTCAAAACCCTCTGCCATGGACACAGTCGATGGATAATCTCTGGAACATGCTTCTGGTGGCAGGAAAAAAGGCTATTACAAAAAAATGGATGACACAAACTGCACCATCAATCAAAGACTCATACGCTGGACAGGAAGTGCTGTAATATTATTTAAATTTAAATGTGATATAAAAACATTGGATGCAGTCTGTCAAATTTGTTTTCTCTCTATGTCATGTTCACAGTTTTGTGCAGTGTTGGGAAGGTGACTTTTCAAATGTAATCCCCTACAGATTACAGATTACATTCCCCAAAATGTAGTTTGTAACGGAATCCATTAAGTTACTTAAAGTGAGAAACGTAATCTGAATACTTTGGATTACTTGATTTGCTGTAGAGAAGCAAAGACGAGGAAATCATAACATAAGAAGTTTTGTCTGATAAAAGAAAATGAAAAGCCCAGACTTTACTTGACCGTGTTAAAAACATTATTGATAGAAGACGAGGAGACACGACCACGCGACATGGTTTAGTCCTGTTAAATCCTGTTTTAGTCCTGGTTTAGACCTAGTTTAGTCCTGGTTTACTGTAGACCTGGTTTAGTCCTGGTTTAGACCTAGTTTAGTCCTGGTTTAGTTCTGGTTTAGTCCTGGTTTAGTCCTGGTTTAGTTCTGGTTTAGTCCTGGTTTAGTCCTGGTTTAGTCATGGTTTAGACCTAGTTTAGTCCTGGTTTAGTCCTGGTTTAGACCTGGTTTAGTCCTGGTTTAGTCCTCATTTAGTCCTGGTTTAGTCCTGGTTTAGACCTGGTTTCGTGTCTGGCAATGAGTGGAATTACAGAAAAAAAAAAGGTAGATTTAGCCCAAAATGTAAAAACAGGAAAATACCGCCATGTAATCTATTTATTTCAACAAAGTAACTGTAATCCAATTACCACTCACTGAAACAGTAACTGTAACTGAATACAGTTACTCATAATTTGTACTCTGATTACGTAACTGTAATCTGTTACTCCCCAACACTGGTTTTGTGTTATGTGTTGTTTACCTTTTCATCAAAACTAAAGAAAAATAAAATATAAAAAAGAAAAAGAAGAGTCGCCTGCTTTCTCTCACACTGGGGTTAACTGTTCTTATTGATCCATTTACAATCAGGGGAGTTTTATTTCTATTTTTAGTACAATTTTATTTATTTTTAAAATCTCATCAGGGACGTTGTACAAACTAATAATAATGATAATGAAGGCACAAAATGTATCATTTATGATCGTATCAAAATAAATGGTCATGTTAAAGAAAAGCATGTGTTTAGTTTATAGTCGTGGTTTTACTTGTGAAGACGACTGATCTGGTCTTTTAGATATTTCTGTAAGATTTGATTTGTATATATATATTTTTTTTAAGTGCACCAAGTTCATACAAGTTTTGATATGATCATCTAAACTATTCCATAAGTCTGTGACACAAACGCTTTTGAGAGTGGTTTGAGAAAACTGTTTTTTAAAGTCCATTTGACCTCTCAGATTGTATTTGAATTTGTACAGAACAGTTTTTGAATGTTTTCTGGGAGCAGGTTGAGTTTGGCTTTAAATAAGATTTGGCATGATTTAAATGTTACCAAGTCCCCACATTTCAGTATCTAAGACTGGCAAAAAAGTGCATTTGTATATTCTCTATATCCGACTAAGTGAGCTATTTGCAGTGTTGGGAAGGTGACTTTTCAAATGTATTCCCCTACAGATTACAGATTACATACCCCAAAATGTAGTTTGTAATGTAATCCATTAAATTACTTAAAGTGAGTAACGTAATCTGAATACTTTGGATTACTTGATTTGCTGTAGAGAAACAAATACGAGGAAATCATAACAAAAGATGTTTTGTCTGATAAAAGAAAATGAAAAGCCCAGACTTTGCTTAACCGTATTAAAAATATTATTGATAGAAGAGGAGGAGACACGTCCATGCAGCATGATTTAGTCCTGTTAAATCCTGGTTTAGACCTGGTTTAGACCTGGTTTAGTCCTGGTTTCGACCTAGTTTCGACCTGGTTTAGTCCTGGTTTCGATCTAGTTTAGACCTGGTTTTAGACTTGGTTTAGTGTCTGGCAATGAGTGGAATTACCGAGAAAAAAAAGAAAAGTAGATATAGCCCCAAATATGAAAACAGGAAAATACCGCCATGTAATCCATTTATTTCAACAAAGTAACTGTAATCCAATTACCACTCATTAAAACAGTAACTGTAACTGAATACAGTTACTCATAATTTGTACTCTGATTACGTAACTCCGGTACATGTAATCTGTTACTCCCCAACACTGTTACTTTTATAAGAATTTCTCCAGATCTCTACACAGTCACTTAAATAGGATAATATAAAGAGTAAGGAGAAATTTGGATTTGTTCATCAAGGCTATAACTTTTGCAATTTTGGTTTTAATTTTTATCAATGTGTGGTTTCCAACAAAGTTCGTGATCAAGAGTTACACAAAGAAATGTGTGGTCAAGTTCTCTTTCTATGGTTACATTATCAGTTTTTATCTGGGTTGCGTCATTGTCTCATGCAACCGTGATCTAATTTCTGTGGCAATTTGCTGTTTTAGTGTGATTGGTCTAACAGGAATCCACACTTGAAACTCAGCTCCTGCAGCCAGGTGTTTGTATCAGCAACACCTGTCTTAATCAGGACAGTCTTTTGTGATGTCATGTAGTGCTTTTTACACATTTATGGTGGATTGCCATAATATTGTCATAATATTATCACCTGGGTTGATATACAGGTGTCCCAAAAGTGTGACATCATTTCTCAGGCCAATAATTTTGGCAATTCTCGTTGAAATAACCTCAAATTTTCACAGAATGTTTAGAAACAGGATCAGACGGAATGTTTTATTACCTGGTCCCTGAAGGGTTGACCAGGTTTTGTATTCACCCTGTGTGTGTGTGTGTGTGTGTGTCTGTCCACCCGCGATAATTCCACCATTTATGGGCCAATTGTCACCAAATTTTGCCATGCCCGATGCCACAAAAACAAGTTTGGTGACGATCCGAGGTCATCTGAGGTCACACGGGTCAACTGAAAGGTCACACCATTATAAAGGATAAAGGCAATTTTGGCCATTTCTGAACCATCTGCCGCCTAAAATATTCACCCAATCATCACACAAGTTGGCACACACATAACCGGGGCACACTGGGTGTTACAGGTTCAAACCGGTCAAGGTAACTTGAAGGTCAAGGTAACCAAGGTCAAATATGTTTTTTGGTCATAAATCCACGAAAGATCCAGCTCGAGCAACAGGAGTGTCTCATAATGTCAGAAAAATGATCATCTATTTAGAATTCTATTCATTTGTATAGTCAAATATTCATAGTTTTTGAGACAATCACTAATTAGAACAGTTCTTTTCTCTTTCAGTGTTAAAATTCTAAGTGGAACAAAAATCATTTCCATTTCTTGTTTTTCTGGTGAAACACAACACACTGATCTACAGTCACACAACTAACATACACACAACTCATGAAAATGACATTTTGGTTCCACACTAGTAAACACACACATTCTCATGTGTGACCAGTATCACACAAATGTTCATGGGCCTGTACACATACACACATTATATTATGGATATAATGATCATGTCATATGGGCTGGACTCCTCATAAACTGTTTCTGTGCTGATGAACTGACCCACTGACACCTCATGTGGACCAGGATGATGTCTCTGATTATTCTTGTTTTTGTGTTGTTTTCAGGTTGAGCCGTTCACTCCTAAAGAGAAGTCATTTTGCCTTAAATGTAACATTTGGAAAAACTTCACCACCTGGCAAACAAATCTGGATTTGGTACCAAAAATGTAAAGAGGAAGGCTGTTTTTGCAGGGCTAAAAGATTTACATATGTGTGCGAGCAGATTCTGAGACGCAAAATGACTGGAATAAATGAACGGCTCAACCTGAAAACGGAACAAAAATGAAACATGAAATATACAATCTTGATCTGTTTCTATATATTCTGTGAACATTTTAGGTTATTTCAACAAGAACTGACAAAATGTTTGGCCTGTCAAATTTTCTGGGACACGTATATATTGAGATGTTTTGTCAATATTGCCTTGAAATACGTTTAACTCAAGCCCAACAGTGCGCAGACTCTCCACCTTAAAAGTGACATGGTGCTTTCAGTGATTCAGCTGCTCTTTAGTCATTTTTCCCATTCATATTTCAGTCCTGACTTCCCCCTGATCTAAACCTGCCTCCACTCCATTCCCACTGCACTACATTTCCCATGAGGCCCCGGGGTGCTGTCCGCTCTGCTCCTGTGTGCCTTTCATGCGCGGATCCAGGTCAGTGCGCGGGACCTTCAGATGGAGCCTCGGGCGTGTGGTTTTAGAATGTGCCCTGCGTGCTGTAGCTAAAGTTATTCTCGTGCGCAGAGCTTCTACTCTCCGCTCGTGTTGTGCGTTTGCTCTGCTCTGACAAACACTGAGCTAAACACACACTTTGACACCTGTGATTTCACCCTCACCTGCACAACCGCTGCTGCTGAGCGCCACATGAACCAGGACATGTTGATAAAAAATAAACACAGCACCAGAATCAGAACCACTTTTATTCATCTCCAACAGGAATTTTTTATTTATTTATTTATTTTTTTACAGACAGCAGCAGCAGCAGCTACAGAATAGATAAAAATAAATGATTACGCATTTATTTTTAAAGGAAGTGTACATTACCAGCACACTTACAGTTTTAAAGAGCCACTAAACACTAAAAACACTTTTTTTTTTTTACTGATTCTCTGTGTAAATGGGTCTAAAACAGAAGTGTATATCTATCCCTGGCCCAGGGGAGCTCACACTTTTTCATCATGTGAGCTACTTACAAAATGACCAAGTTATAATGATCAACCTAATACAAAGCCAAGCAAACTGCACTGAAACACTCTGTGCCCCTTTTTTGGACCCTCACTCACAGTTTGAGAACCTCTTCTTTAAGAGAACTTCCTCTGGCACTTTACACAAAACTGTGAAAAAAGTGAAGGAAGATTTTTAAACCTGTTTTTTTAAAGTTCCAAACTGGAGTTACATTCTTTTCTGGTTTTGCAGTGATATTTACCAGCCTCTGCACGTTTACCAAACCAAACACACATCGTGACAAACACAGATGCATTTGTGCACTTTTGTTAGACAAACTTCAGCCAAATGTGGCAGTAGGTCTGTTCTGTAGATCTGCTCTATGCTGTAGACCTGCTTTATGCCAACATTGGAACACAAATTTAGACTGGTTTTTGCTTCACGTTTGGTCTTGTTCTAATCAGCCGCACTGTGGGAGGGGCTTGTGTTCGCTGTACGCAGGAAGGAGCGAGAGCGTGAAAAGGCGAGGGGCGGCGTGCTGACGTGAGGCAGATGGACAGGTAGGATGTTTAGGAAGTTGAACCTGCCCTGTGATGCACGCTGGTACACGAGGGCACACGCTGTTGCAGACGAGCCGTGCATAGGGAGCGTGTGTGTTTGTGATGTGCCGTAGAGTCTCCGCGGGTTTCAAATGAGCACACAGGCTGCACTGAGACGCCCCACACGCTCCTGCACCCGCTACAAGTTTATTACCAACAGCAGCGGCCGTAATGAAATATGATCACACTTGTTGAGTGTCACACCTCAAGTGAGAGAAAAGACCGAGTCCAAACGCGAGTCTGAGACGAGACACGGCGATCTACCCACACCACCTTGGTGATCAACTGGTAGATCGAGATCGACGTATTGAGCACCCCTGCCCTGGCCTTATTTTGGCATTTAAGTGCGTATTTGTTAAAAATTTGACTTTTTGGGTCAAAGTCGTGTCTGTAATGGCCGCCGGTGAGCCAGATGCAGGTTATTATGATACAAGCACAGACACTGGCATCTCCGGGCGGTAAATGAAGAGCACCCCTTAACTCTGCATATACCAAGCTGCTCTCTGTGGTGAAACTGCTATTGGTAGCTCTCACTGACCCCACATCATCACCCACCCACACTCCCCAACCCACCAAGTACCACGCACTTTGTTGGATTTTTCAGATTCTGACTGTGGGCGGAGTTAACTCTAGCACAGACATTTAGCTGCTCTTTAAGAAAGAAACTACAATCACAACTGAATCTGTGTCTCCAGAGTCTTCACCTGCTGATAGAGACACATGCAAGTTTGTCTTATTCTCAGTTTATGGACAGACCTCATGCGAAAGCTCAGAACCTCCAGAATTCCCTCCCTGAGCTGCAGAGGCTGCACTAGCACTGACTCAGGATTGGTGCAGGTGCTGAGCTTTAGGGAGTGACCATTCAGATCAGAGAGATTCAACTCAACCCAAATGAGATAGGATAATCAAGAGCTACTGCTAATAACAGTAAACACGGCCGCTGTTTTTGTCATTTAGGATTCAGTTTAGATTTAGTTTCAGTCATTTTCATGACATTTATAGTCAAAGTATTTTCCATTGTCCCTTTATGTATTGATTTATATGTTTGTTTCCAATGATTCATTATCTCTCATTATCTCTTTTGTTTGTTCCCCTGTTGAGGTAAATATAAAATATTACCTGTGCAAATCAAATAGAATTTCCACGAGCTTGTTTCATAGGGATCAGTCTAAACCTGCATCTAACAATAAATGATTCTATTAAGCCAGGCATGTCCAAACTATGGCCCGGGGGCCAAATGCGGCCCTCAGACAATTTTTTCTTGGCCCTCAGGCTTCCAGGTGAATTGGCCCAAATTGCCTTGCATCAATGAAAAGTAAACTTTTTTACTGCAAGTTTTTTGAAAATCTACCTTGATAAAGCCAATTTTTAATATTTAGTGTGTGGTTTTAAGGATCTTAGCATCAATAAAGACTGATGGTTCATTCTAACGTGTTTAAACATGCACATATTTCAGTTATTCGCTGTACTGAGCTCTAGTCTACGGCCCACTGCTTCATTTGTGTTTAGATATGTGGCCCTTGATGAAAAAAGTTTGGACATCCCTGTATTAAGCCATGTGAGTCACTATAGATGGTTTCAGTTTACTCTGTGACATGCATCATTTCAAGGACTTTTTCCCATTCAAGATAAATAATGTTTAGTTTTAAGTAGGGGTGGCACATAAATGTGTTAATTACAATTAATTAATTACAAAGAAAATAATGTATAAAAATATTAACTAATTGTATCGCAATTTGCATGTCAAACAATGCAGAACATTAGTCAGTGCACCATGTTGTGGTATGGCAGTTCTACTGACGCACACAGTTCTACTACTACAACAATCCAGGAGCATGGAATGAAAGCACCATTTTGGCCATAATCTGTATCAAGAAGTGGACTAAGTGAGTGTTACTAAGGGAGTGAATTTGAAGCTGAGCTTCATGTTAGGAATAAAATGTTGCCCGTTGTCTGTAGTCCAAATGTAAACAGAGAGTATGAGGTGCTACTCACTGGGGATTCCTGAGACGAGCTTGAGCGGGCGCAGCACTCTCACAGCTCGGAGGGTTCGCAGGTCAAAGTCTGAGCCCACCGTCGCCAGGATGCTGAAACAGAACACAACACAGTCTAGATTCAGTTCACAGAGGCCATTTAAACACAGCCAGGAGTACGTTTAAGAGTCTAACCCATAATTTACACCAAAGCTGTAACAGTGCAATTTTTAAATGTGCAACAAAAAAGGGACACACGACAGACACAAGAAGAATCTTATGAGACTTAAGATCTCCGATTGCAAAGACTGTTCAAAAGATCAGAGCTCTGCACTTCTAGTTTAGATACAAGTCAAAAAGGATTTATTATTATTTGTGAAATGTGGTTCAAAACTTCAGATACATTATTTTTAATGCACAGAAGGCTGGTGATAAAGTCCACAGGAAGTAGAGTCACGATCACTAATCCGTGCGCTGTGTGGATGTAAACAGACACACGTGAGGAACTACTCCCACCTTTTTACTTTTAAATATGTCATTATTTGTGGAGGAAAATGTCTATGGTTAATGTGGATGAGATGCTGCACTTTAAATTTACCACTTTATGAGAGGGGAGTAATAAATTCTTCTCATTATTTTCACTCTTTCCTGAATTTGTATTTTGTGCATCTGAGGCTGGAGTTCAACATTTTCAGCATCAGCAGAGCGTCTCCAGGCTTTTGGCAGAGGAGCATACGTTTAAGCAAAATGGCAAAAGTTACAGAATGTTTAAGAGGTACAGACATTTACTTTCAGACAGACAATCCGGTTATGCCAGCAGATTGAATGTTATTACTCGTTTAGGTCTTTTTAAATGAGTTTTGGACATCTGAGCATTAGTCTTTCATATTTTATCACTGTAAAGATTAAAGTTACTGTCACTTTGCTAGTCTCCATGAAGATGTCATTGCTTTGCTGGGAATGTTCCGCAGTAAGGCATTAATCTGCCAACCTAGTTGCCACACCTGGTCAAGTTTTAGGACAGATCTCCATTTTAGCAATATAATCATGTGTAATTAAAAACCTTTCAGACAGAGAAGTTTAATGCCATACTGTGGAACATACTAGACAAAGTAAAAACATCTACATGGTGTCTTTAGTCAGGCTGGTGCCACCTAGTGCCTCAGCTCAATTTCATTTCTCTCCAGTGACTAAATCAGGACTTTAGAAACACAAAGGAGCAATTCTGGGTTACCACTTGATGACATCACAAGGTTACAATCCAAGCTAAGGTAGGATTATGTGTGATTTTTTTGTGTGTGTGTGACAAGCCTTGCAATTTTATTATCAGTTGATAATTTTTAATAATAAAATTCTGTTTTAAGTTCATACTTTAAACATATCTGTGAGAACTGACAAAAATCCTGAAATCAGAACTGACAAACAAATACAACAATCACATTTCTGAACATTTTTTTTTTTTTTCAGAATAAAACAGGAGATTCTTTTGTTTGTGGAGAAATGATGGTTCTTCAAACTCAAACACAGACAAACCAAAACCCTGGATATATTTTTGACAAAGAAACGACATTCTAAAAACTGAACATAATATCATGCTTATAAACCTCCCCCACGCCCTTTAACACTGGATGACATCATTGTGTAATTTTTACCCCCACACAACAAACAGTCAGAGCACAGGGCTGGCTTAAGTGTTCTTTAGAAAACGCGGCGCTGCAGGCTAAGATGCACTCTGCCACCCAGTCAGGTCAACGCGCAAGAAAAGACATGAACGCACAGAGAGAGAGAGAGAAACATGGAGGAAAAAAATCATCTCCTCCAAACACACCGAGCTGAACAGGAGCTTTAAAATGGCTCAAAAGTGGAGGGGAGAGAGCACAAATTGGTGAGATACATTTGGTATTTTGTGGAGATGAGCTGTAGGAGTTCCCCGGGCATTACATAAGGCCACTGTTATTTATTGCCGCGGTGCATACTGTTTGTAAAGGTTATGCAAGTCATTTTCTAGATCTGAGCTACACTTCTGCTTTTTTTTTAACTGCTCCTTTTACCTTTAGTTCAGTAGAGATTGGAAATGCCAGGGCTAAAATAATCCAAATGTTTCCAGTGAAGGTGGATAGAGTTTAAAGGGCCCATCTCATGCAAAATCAATTTTTCAGAGCTTTCTACCTTCTAAGAGTGATGTGTGGGCCTTGTATATGTGGTTTTTAGATTGATTCTGCATTTTTTTTTAAACAAATTGCAGTGCATTTCTGCCACCCTCCCACGTGACAATGAACTAAAGCTGCTACAACAATGATGCGGCAGATACACCTATGACGCGTTTGACGTAGCAGAAAACGCTTTGCACCCGCCCCCTGCCCTGCTCCACCACCTCTGCCTCCACCCCACATCGACTGACAATTCCCACATGAACCTAAACAAAAGCGACAGCATAAGCTCATTGTTCTACACTGCAGTGAACACGATATAATAAGTTGATCTACTAGTGTTTATTAATACTTTACCAATCAGTAATGTTCAGTTGATGTGGACGCGGTGCTTGAGCTTCGTGCTCCTCATAGTCCTCGTCCGATTCCGGGTCCAACACATGCGGCTGAATGCGCTGTATCTCCATGATGAATAAAAGTTTATTCTACCACTATCAGGGTCACACCTGTCTCCCCCTCCCTCCCTGAGATGGACGGAGGAAGGGCGGTTCACTCGTCGCCTACATCACGTTTGGAGGGCGGAGCCTGTGCTTTCTCAGGACGGGCGTGGGGAGGAGCAATAGTCGGTCTTTCATAGTTCCTGGTCTCTGACTGTCTCCAAGAAATCAGTAAGATTTCACAACTATTGTGTAATGGATGTTCCAAAACCCAAATAGTGCTTGTTTATGTGCAGAAGATACAATGTGAAAAGAGTGATTTTACATGAAATGGGACTTTTAAAAAATACTCACTTCCTGTGTCTCTCAATACTCACTTCCTTCCATGTACTGTACATGTACTGTACATGTACTGTACATGTACAGTACTGTACATGTACTGTACATGTACTGTACATGTACAGGACATGTACTGTACATGTACTGTACGTGTACTGTACGTGTACTGTATGTGTACTGTATGTGTACTGTACGTGGCTGGCTGTTTCTTTCACACATTACATTTTATTCACTGGTGACTCCAGTGTAAATGTTGAACGTGCAGGAGTGAGAATTCAAATGGACACAGCTTTAGCCTGCACACATTAGTGTGTGATTATGTGTAATGGCAGTTCACTGTGTTTGTTGTTCAGTACATCAGCCCTTTTGACTTTCTACTGTGCACCTTATTATTCTGCAACCTGCTTTTTACATGGAGCCATTACAATCAAGAAGGAGCTGTACACAGTAAGGACACATTATACTGGGCTCATTATTATCTACTTCTGTTTTCACATGGAATAAGTTTTCATTTTCAAGTGCTCAGAGCTCCAGACTCACAACAAAGAGCCCTGATTCCAGGTCTAGTTGGAGTAATCATGATCTATTTGGATCTGAATAAATAGCCATTAAGTCCTTTTGTTTCCTATGGATGATCATTTGTTTCATCAGATGTTTATTTGAATCTATGTATATCTGAATCTATATATTTTCAAATTCAGAGAATCACATTTGCAGTGGACTGTGTGTGACTGAGGAGAGAGGCCACTGTTTCCTGTTGGCCATCCTCTTCTGTGGGCAGGGCGTGTAGTTAAAGAACCAAGGAGATGATGTTTTGATGAGGTTAGTTCTAACGAATCAACTCCTGACTCATCCACTTAGGATGGATTGCTAATGCCTCAGTGGGATTTCATTCACTTTAAGTTCTGTTAGACTCGCCAGCAAAACAAATCCTCGTGTTTTGTGAGTTCACAAACTCTGTGGCTGAATTGTTTGCATTTGATAACTGACCAATCAGCACTGAGATCTGTATTCATATTTCAGGCCTGTTTTAACAGAAATACAGTCTATTTAGTTTGTGAAAAACGTACAGAGGGAAGCGCTTCGAGCATTTGTGGATGGTTAGAGCGATCCCACACTGATGTACAGCTTTATTCAAGGAGAGCCACATGTCAGTCTGTCGAGAGTTACGTAAAAACTCTGTATTTTGACTCTTGACCAATATCCTGACTCCATGTTTGACTCCACTCATGTCACTACTCTGCCTCTGACCACTCTCCCCTGTGAGACTGAAGGACTAGTCAATGCAGAGAGCCAATGTCCCTGCAGATACAACACAGTCCGGGTTAACTATGGATCTGTTAAACTCTCCCACTAGTATCTGATATTTCCAATAACAATGTTTTATAACATGTATATAACAAACAATAAGTGTCTAAAAATCTCCATTAAAGTGTTGCATTGCGGCCGAGCAGGGACCAGTTGAGATTGCTCTGTGCTGCGGCGGTCCACGTGGGAGCACTAGCATTAATGTGCGCACTAAAGTGACTGAAAACCCACAGCAAACAAGGACGTGGCTCTGCTCCCCACCAGCTCCGTCGCCATGGTAACGTGAAAAAGCACATCTGGGGTTTATGGAATTATGGTCCATACAGAGCAGTCTGCTGGGAGTGTTTTGAGCTGCTTCTGAATCCTGTTTCTCATACGACGCTGCGCTCACTTACACCTCTGCAAATGTACGGCTCCTTACAGGTTTCACAGTTTAAGAAGAGAAGCAGAGGAGTGGAATTGTCACTCAGGACTCAAGAATTATCTGTAGAACACAACCACGAGGTGTTCTAACCATGTCTAGGTGTGTTCTAGGGATTTAAAAGCCCATATTTCACTATTTTCTGATCTATTTTATACTGTAATATTGTTTCCTCATCACAAACACACCTGGAGTTGTGTTTTGTTTCATTCAAACATGTTTAACACACCCTGCAGATTTAAGCTGAGTTCTTGTGTCAAACAAAAAACACTTAGTGCTCCACTGTGTTTTTAAACTCCACACACAAAGGAGCCTCTGTTCCTGCACCACGAGACTCACTAACAGCTTCACCCACCAGGCTGTTAGGATGCTGAACTCTCTCCCCTCTCTAACCACTAGGCGGCCAGGAAGAGGGAATCTATGTCTCCCCAAAGAAGAACTTTCAACTTTTCTTTTTTA